CTTAGTCTCCAGAGCGAAAAGACGCGGTTTTCGGTGTAGGGGCGAGAATTTAGAAACATACAGAAAAATAATTCTTATAAATATCGAAATGCTCTCCTCGAATATGATATTAGACATACCCAGCTAAATTCTAAAAGAAATTTCGATATTCGAAAGCGATTTTTGTGGCTTCCTGAGCCGGGCGGAACTGCCAAAAAAAACGTTGGGACTTAGTCTCCAGAGCGGAAAGACGCGGCTTTCGGTGCCAGGGACGAGAATTTAGAAAAATACAGAAAAATAATTATTATAAATATCAAAATGCTCTCCTCGAATATGATATTAGACATACCCAGCTACATTCTAAACGAAAATTCGATATTCTAAAGCGATTTTTGTGGCTTCCTGAGCCGGGCGGAACTGCCAAAAAAAACGTTGGGACTTAGTCTCCAGAGCGGAAAGACGCGGCGTTCGGTGCCAGGGACGAGAATTTAGAAAAATACAGAAAAATAATTATTATAAATATCAAAATGCTCTCCTCGAATATGATATTAGACATACCCAGCTACATTCTAAACGAAAATTCGATATTCTAAAGCGATTTTTGTGGCTTCCTGAGCCGGGCGGAACTGCCAAAAAAAACGTTGGGACTTAGTCTCTAGAGCGAAAAGACGCGGCGTTCGGTGCCAGGGACGAGAATTTAGAAAAATACAGAAAAATAATTATTATAAATATCAAAATGCTCTCCTCGAATATGATATTAGACATACCCAGCTACATTCTAAACGAAAATTCGATATTCTAAAGCGATTTTTGTGGCTTCCTGAGCCGGGCGGAACTGCCAAAAAAAACGTTGGGACTTAGTCTCTAGAGCGGAAAGACGCGGCGTTCGGTGCCAGGGACGAGAATTTAGAAAAATACAGAAAAATAATTATTATAAATATCAAAATGCTCTCCTCGAATATGATATTAGACATACCCAGCTACATTCTAAACGAAAATTCGATATTCTAAAGCGATTTTTGTGGCTTCCTGAGCCGGGCGGAACTGCCAAAAAAAACGTTGGGACTTAGTCTCCAGAGCGGAAAGACGCGGCTTTCGGTGCCAGGGACGAGAATTTAGAAAAATACAGAAAAATAATTATTATAAATATCAAAATGCTCTCCTCGAATATAATATTAGACATACCCAGCTAAATTCTAAAAGAAATTTCGATATTCGAAAGCGATTTTTGTGGCTTCCTGAGCCGGGCGGAACTGCCAAAATAAACGTTGGGACTTAGTCTCTAGAGCGAAAAGACGCGGCGTTCGGTGCCAGGGACGAGAATTTAGAAAAATACAGAAAAATAATTATTATAAATATCAAAATGCTCTCCTCGAATATGATATTAGACATACCCAGCTAAATTCTAAAAGAAATTTCGATATTCGAAAGCGATTTTTGTGGCTTCCTGAGCCGGGCGGAACTGCCAAAAAAAACGTTGGGACTTAGTCTCTAGAGCGAAAAGACGCGGCGTTCGGTGCCAGGGACGAGAATTTAGAAAAATACAGAAAAATAATTATTATAAATATCAAAATGCTCTCCTCGAATATGATATTAGACATACCCAGCTAAATTCTAAAAGAAATTTCGATATTCGAAAGCGATTTTTGTGGCTTCCTGAGCCGGGCGGAACTGCCAAAATAAACGTTGGGACTTAGTCTCTAGAGCGAAAAGACGCGGCGTTCGGTGCCAGGGACGAGAATTTAGAAAAATACAGAAAAATAATTATTATAAATATCAAAATGCTCTCCTCGAATATGATATTAGACATACCCAGCTACATTCTAAACGAAAATTCGATATTCTAAAGCGATTTTTGTGGCTTCCTGAGCCGGGCGGAACTGCCAAAAAAAACGTTGGGACTTAGTCTCCAGAGCGGAAAGACGCGGCTTTCGGTGCCAGGGACGAGAATTTAGAAAAATACAGAAAAATAATTATTATAAATATCAAAATGCTCTCCTCGAATATAATATTAGACATACCCAGCTAAATTCTAAAAGAAATTTCGATATTCGAAAGCGATTTTTGTGGCTTCCTGAGCCGGGCGGAACTGCCAAAATAAACGTTGGGACTTAGTCTCCAGAGCGAAACGACGCGGTTTTCGGTGCCAGGGACGAGAATTTAGAAAAATACAGAAAAATAATTATTATAAATATCAAAATGCTCACCTCGAATATGATATTAGACATACCCAGCTACATTCTAAAAGAAATTTCGATATTCTAAAGCGATTTTTGTGGCTTCCTGAGCCGGGCGGAACTGCCAAAAAAAACGTTGGGACTTAGTCTCCAGAGCGAAACGACGCGGTTTTCGGTGCCAGGGACGAGAATTTAGAAAAATACAGAAAAATAATTCTTATAAATATCGAAATGCTCACCTCGAATATGATATTAGACATACCCAGCTACATTCTAAACGAAAATTCGATATTCTAAAGCGATTTTTGTGGCTTCCTGAGCCGGGCGGAACTGCCAAAAAAGACGTTGGGACTTGGTCTCCACAGCGATGAGACGCGCTTTTTTGTGCAAGTGGTCAGATAAAAAAAAACTAAAAAATAATTATTACTATTATCAAACTACCCTCCTGGAATATGATACTAGACATACCGAGATACGTGAAAGATGTAAATTAAATCTCCTATCAATTTTTGTGGCTTCCTCAGCCAGGGGCAACTGGGCGGGAAAATGTTCTGGCATAGTTCTCAGAGCGACAGATGCGATTTTTTTGTGAAAGGGGCGAGATATACAAAATTGCAGAAAAATAATATTTATGAATATTAAAAATTTTTTGCCGGAAAATGATAGTAGACATGCCCAGCTTCATTCCACGTGGAATTTTTACCTCCTCATGCAATTTCCTCTAATTTCTTGACCTTATGAAAAAAGCACTGTATAATTTAGTCGGCAAAAAGACGACAAGTAGCCTAACTCGCACTTTTTGCCTACTGCTTTGCCTTTTAACAAGCAAGAAGCTTCCTTGAGATTATAAATGCGAACTAGGGTGCCTTCATCTCAGCTTTAATCGGGGTGATGGCATATTTCGTAGTACCCGATGCCGACAGCACGTGCTCACAACGAGAATACAAAGAAATACCTTGAAAAAAGAATGGTGCCGTAGCACAAGTAAAGCGCGCTCCTACCAAAGGATAAAAAGCACAGCGCCCGTATGAGAAATATTGCACCATTGTTGGTGACATGGTCACGTGAGGATTATTTACGGGGGTCACGTGGCCATCGTCCGTTGCGCCACATTAACCACGTAACCACAGTGAAAGAGTGGGCCAATGGAGGCCACAAGGTCATGTGACCATGATCCGTGGGGTCATAAGAACACGGTTCGTGGAGTCACGGGAACATAACGCGCGGGGCGGGGGGGGGGGGGGGGGGGGGGGTTCCTTTCCGCCAGGTCTCCACGCGGGAAATGATATCGCATTTAAGCCTCACAGTTGTCCAATTGTCCAAGCTGACAGCCAACTTTTTGCCGATCATGGGCAAGTGCGGTTCTTCTTGGTGGGCGGCCAACGGAACCCCCCCCCCCCCCCCCCACACCACCCGAAAAGTACAGAGGAAGCACCTAGAGCTCCCAGAAGTGTGTGAGTCAGAAATTGTGTAAAGTCGTCGATTTTTTTACTAGGATTTGGGCATGGTACAGGAACCGCAAAATCTCTTATTGGTCCATAATTGCTATCGACATGTATGGCGCTAAAATGAATTCATTTGTCCGTCGAAAAACCATGGTGCAATCATCAGAAATATATATTTCATTCGTTAAAATAGTAAAGATTTGCGAAATATTTTGGGCGTGAGATCTCTGCTGACCCAACCATGTTTTACCGCTATTGCCAGCCCTCGGTTATTAGAGAGCTTTAGACCTAGATAACTCAAAATTGAGAGTGAATTTCAAAATGCTCTCCTGGAATCAATTAAAGCTAAGATTAATAAAGCGATCGCATTTGACTTCAAGCTCCTGTGGCGATAAGCTTTTCTTCCTGGGAGCTGAATGTCACGGCCTCGTTTTCAATGGGAGTCTATGGGATTCGGTTTGTTGACTCGGGAAGGAAATGTAATGGTCGTGAGGCACTGAAATCCTTCAAATAAGTGGGCTATTAGATCAATATTATGACCCCCCGAGTGCAATTAAATTTGTTGAGTTTTAACTGAATTACAAAAATAAAACTTTTTTGCCCATTGAGTTACGCTGGGGCGCTGACGTGACTGCCGAGAGATGGCGTAAGTTGCGAGCGGCGGCATGTCCCGGATTCTTGGGGTTGGATACGGAAGAGCAAGTCTCAGTTAAGAAGAAAGTTGAGGCCACAGAAAGAGATTGGTGGCTAGAGGGAATGCAGACAAAGACGGCTCTGGAAAGCTATAGATTAAACAAAAGAGTTATTGCCAAAGAAAGCATTTATGACAATTCTAGGGGAAGCTCATTGCTGTTTGAGGCGAGGACGGGTGTTCTGCGAACCAGAACATACAGAGTGAAGTACCAGGAAATTGATACAGTGTGCACTGCTTGTGGAGAGGAGGACGAGACGGCTGAGCACTTGATACTCTACTGTAAAGGGCTTCACCCTATGCCTACCGAAGACAACATAGATTTAATAAAGTCATTGGGTTTTAGAGACAGTGAAGGGAGAGTGGATTTCAAGACTGTAGAGATTACCAAACAAAGATTAAGTGAATGGTGGCAGAAATCGAGAGAAAACTAGGTATTTTCTTATTCACTGATGGCAAGGGGGTTTCACTGCGGAGGGAATATAGATTTTACATTTAAATATTCTAAGCTTAAATGGTAAAACAAAATGGCTAGGTGGCGTAAGCTACCGCCCGATCCAAAGGGCTCAGCCGTATTCATCCATCCATCCATCCATCCATCCACGCAGGGCGGTGTTCACACTCATATTCGTGATAGTACGTCTTATATACGTTGCTGATAGCGGCAGCACAGCTACTCTCGTGACGTCACTACGTGCATATACTGACCACTTCGAGTATGTTGAGGAACCCGTTGATCGAGAGAATGTATACGGTGGTGAGGCCCAGCTGATGGTAGGCGTCGTCGATAGCAGGCTGGCGGCCTGTCCCAAGTCTGGATTAAAAACAAAAACAAAAACAAAAACACGTGAGTCGCTACGCGGTCGCTATCTCCAATTCAGTAGGGAGTTTTGGTAGATCGTTTCCGTTGTCCCGCAACGTTCTGCGCCAACCCGCTGCAATATCCGGGACTCTGCAGGCGAGACTGGGGCCGCGCATGCGCAATAGGGGCGTCTTTATTCCGCAGAACGTAGCGGAGGTGGGAAACCGGTCTGCGAAAACTCCCGATCAATGAACTTCTGCGCCGTTCGTTATTGGCGAGATTTCGGAGCGAATAACCAGGGTATGCTTCCTGTAGGGTCGTCGTGGCTTAGAAAGTTCTCACTAAAGGTATGGGAAAAATCTTACCGCCAAATATAGGGGAAAGGTTTATTTTCTAAAGTCAGCATTTCACGAGACACCGCGTGTCACGTCACTCTGGAACGTCACCTGACACCTTGACGTGACATCGTGATGTCACGGCACACGATGCATGACGTCAAATGAAACCGTGACGTCACAGGACGCCACGGTCAGCCTGCAGCGTGATTGTGCGCAGCAAAGCCTCGGCTGTCGTCGCTGCAGTCTATTTTGAGGACGCTGGGAGGAAGAGGGAAGTTTCCGGTGTCGTTCACAAACCACCCATAGGGAGCGAAGATTAGTGCGAGTGGTATTGTTTAGCAGAACGCGTGCTTGTAGTTCTGTCCACGTTAGTTCATGCTTTAAACGTATTTTAAGGTTTGAAACTTTCCGAGAGTTCTTAAAAACAATATTTAAGTTACAAAATAATATTTTATAACCTCTGGATGTTACCATTGCCCATTGTGGTGTCATCCTATAAGTCACCAACACCCAAGTAATTTTTTTTTTAAGTACCGTGTACGTTGTTTTGTTGACTAACTGGTCGGAATTGCTCAAATTGTGATCTACGTGATCTACGATATGTATTGTTTTGAAAAGGAATGGGTCTTCATTCGGTTATTTGGGCTTAATATAGATAAACTATTCGCTTTTATAGTAAAGTATTGTATACGACCTATCTGACAAGTTGGATAAAGTTCGTCCATAGGGTCTGCCAGGAGATCACAGCCCTCCAAGTTTGAAGCGCTGTTCGCACGAGCACTTACGCAATTGCACGTGCTAAGGGTCCACGCAAAATCCACGCGCTCGCGCTCTTCCGCCGCCATCAACGCTGCGTAGGACTCCTGAGAAAGTAATTGCGGCGAGATTTTTCGGTGGCGCCCCCTTATCGTTTCTATATTTTTGACGTTACGTCCATGATTTGCCTTAGTCATTGTAATTCTGACCACTCATCACCAGTTGCAAACGACCAGCTCAGTGGTATGCGTAATAAGCCTGTTGGGAGCTTGTAGCCATCGCGTGTTCAGCAGCAACACCGCCAGAGTTCACGTTCTGACTGCACAATTATTTCTGTCCACAAAAGGGAAATTATCTTTCTTTCCGAAATCACCGGTTTAAGGTAATTGGGAATGCGCGCATGCGCAACCACGAGCTCAGACACGATGCTTTCGTTTCCAACCGGTTATGGTTGCTCGTTAAGTAACAGATCGCGAACATATGTTTTCATTCCAGATCCTCTCGGGTCATGTATTTAAGGAAGTGAAGTAGAGCTCTTCGGGTCAATCGTGAAAAGTCAACCATACTTTTGGTCGTGCTCTACGTCACTGAAATAAGAGCTGGCGTGGGCGAGCTGATTGGAGTCATTAGCCTTTGGCACACGCAGCGACTGTCCTGAGTCACACTAATTATGTCCATGGCTGGTGTATAGTGTGTTCACATTGAGCCTGGCGCTGTAAAACGAGCCGGAAAGTTTTAGGCCTGCATATATAGAGCTCCAACTTTCACGGAATGTGTATTTAGGCGGCGGATTTTGCCTGGTCAAATTTCAAGGTGTATCCTTGAAATTTTCTGAGAAAAATGAGAATAACAGATTTGCCAGGCCCAACTGCGAATAAGTTTGCAGACGACCGACTTAGCGATGGTTATAACTTAATTGTGCCGCCATCTTACAATAGGCGCACCGAGCAGACGACGCGCTCTCTTTTCTGCTCCCTGCAGCCGATTGGTGCCAGGGACAACCTTTGTTTGTTTTATTTTTTACAGGAAGAAAGCTACGGCTTGAAATTTCTTCAGGAAAAATCCATCACATAAATGAACATTCGGTGACATATTAAGCGTTCCATATGCAGGCGCCGAGTTTTCAGGATCATTTTACACCGCCGTGATTCACTGTGGACGCCTTTTATTATCGTGACTCCGACATCCGATGCAAGTTCTTTCGGAGGCACATTGAACAATCTGCTCTAGCTGCATAGACCTGGAGGGACGTGTGGATCGAGAGCTTACATTGAGAACTGAAGATGGCCCCGGAGGTCGCAGGTGTTATTGTGACACGTCATTTTGTCTCCTCGCGTGTTGTCGCTCTGCTTGTCCCGGTCACGTCGAGAGCAGAACTCCTTTTCTTCTTCTTTCTTTTCTACTTCTTTCTTTTCTTCTTTTACTGGATATGGCCAGCTGAATGTTCCGTTTTCGAGTCATTGTAATGCGCGTGAGGCTTTAGCAGCCGCAAAACTGAACATGGGAATACCAAAAAACAATTAATCCTATGCCTTATTTTGGTAGGCAGTATATTTAGAAATGATCGGAAAAAGTGGGCTGCGTGACAATGTTGGTGCTGGCTTGAAAGTCAGTTGATTGTAACTGTGTCATGTGTATGTTCATATAGCCGGAAGTCAGTCAACCCCTATGGACGTCTGGTGTCTCAGCTGTGGATGGTAAATGCAGCCAGTGCAGTACAACCGCTAGCTGGGGGGGGGGGGGGGCTAGGGCTAGCGGTTGCACTGCACGCGCATCAGGCAGAAATGATACACGACCGCACGCCGGTACAATGCTCATCCAGATAAAAACGGGCAGGGATGGCGATTGAACCAATAGGGAATATTGACTTGATGCCATCTTTGAAGGCGATGTTTAGTGCGCATGCTCAGAACGAGTTCACATTAATAGCCTGTAAGACCGGCAATCTTAATGGTGCGGAATGCACGTTGCAAAAGAACTGCGGAAGCTCGCCTTCAGTACGCGCTCAGTAGCCGCGCACGCAGATATGGCCGCCAGTGAATATCCGACCATAACTGTAGTTCACCAATGAGCGGCTGTGCAAGAGACAGCTTGGTTCGTCTCGTGCTCTACTCGTGACGACCCACAGCGGTGTTGTCGCGCGTGCAGAAAGACTACAGTTTCCACTAGAGCCACTAAATGAGCTTCGCTTGAGTATCGAAACCCTATTTCCCGATATTGTTGTGGGCGTCGCCATTTTGGTGCTTGTGGAGAGCAGACGCAACTGCCGATTGTCATGATTCAAAAGTGCGACTTCCGCAGCATTAGATTCGGTGTTAGGAAGCGCATGTAATATTAATTTGCTTTGTCGCGAACTGTTTAAACATTTGCCGAGGACGGAAAAGCGTTTCGTGTGATTTCAGATAACTGGCAACCATGATCTTAAGGAAATCCTGCGGGGGAGCGGGAATTTGTCATTACTGAGTACAAATGACAAATTGTGCTTAGTAATGGCAATTAATATGGCTAGGACATATACGGAGATAGTCCGTACTGTAGTTTCCGCCCGTTAAGAAGGGAATAGGCAACAGATCCAGATCCACAAGATGACTAATACCCGTGCCACACAGGCGGCTCGAATTCCATTTACAACGAATGACATTCGTGTGATCGACGAATCGCCTCGCGATCTGTCGCGCGTGGAACGCCCCGCGCTAGGAGTGTCGCGCGCTGATTGGCCGATCGTTGAAATGTCATTCGATGTAAAGGGCATTCGAGTTGCCCGTGTGGCACGGGTATAAGTGTCGTTACTCTGAAGCGTAGCTTGTTTAGTGGCACTAGTGTATTTCACCTTATGTTGTACCGCAGCGAAGGCTAGAAGCGCGAGCTCATAGCGTCGGCGGCTGCCTTTATGCACGAGAGCATGTGCCGACGAGTTGTACCCTAGGTAGAGCAAGGAGCTCGCGCCTGTAGCCTTTCCTGCGGTACATCATACGGCAGCGGCGGCGTAACGAAACAGGCCGGTAATATTGGTCTATAGACCAATTTCACCAGCCAGTTTGACTACGCCACCGCTGCCGCAATGCATCGAGGGAACTTCAGTCTCTATGCGCGTGGGACGACCTCGCTGGAGCTCTGCGCGCACTGCCGATTGCCTCCTGTGAACAGCTATGGCTGCCTCGCGCTTGCGCCGAACGCTTGGCGAGATCGGTCTATTGAAACCAGGATCGCTGGGTTAGCGCGAGCTTTCGCCCTACGTGCTCCGAGCTGGTGTGTGCTATTGGCCAGGAACTAGAACTGTAGGGGGCGCTTTATTGGGCTTGTTTTTCCCACAGCGGGGTACACTGGCAACCGGGTGTTTATTAACACAGCATAACGATGAAATAGACCAATCTCACCAGCCAGTTTGACTACGCCACCGCTGCCGCAATGCATCCAGGGAACTTCAGTCTTTCTGCACGTGCGACAACCTCGCTGGAGCTCTGCGCGTGTAGAGCACTGACGGTCCGAGCCCTCTGGTGCACTGCGGGCTGCCTCCTGTGAACTAAAGTTATGGCGGCGTCACGCATGCGTCGAACGCTTAGTGAGATCGGTCTATTGAAGCTAGCCTAGCACGATCTGGGCACGAGCGCTTCGCTCTGACCCGCGCTTTGGTCGTCATCTTCGATATCTCTGATCAAAAACAAACGAGAAAATTTGGTTCGTTGTCCCCACAGCTCAAACGTACCGCTAGGGGCGTGACTGTTCAATCTCCCGCTTGGCCACCGATTCCCCACAGAGACTTCGGGGGATCGGTGGCCGAGGATTCCACTTCCGGCAGCCGAGCGCGACGGTCGTGTAATCATGAGCTCCGTGGGAGCTGCGATAACGGCCACGCCTGTCAGCGGGTTCTCTGTCCCTGCATCTGCCGATGACTACAAGACTATTTTACCACCTCTGCGAACCGGTTACATCGTAACCATTATTGTGCCAAATACTCAACAAAAGCATTTAAGATAAGATACTAAATACCCATTTTAATGTGTACTTAGAATAGTATTCAAGTCACTTTTAGTACGAAGTCTCTTGAGTAGAGTACAAATACTTTGAAAAAGTAAATTAATTACATTCGATGATACTTGAGAAGATTTGCAAGCTGGTGATTTAAGATTAAAAAGTCAGAAAGAAGTGCTCTATTTGTGATCACTTCTCTGAAAGTCGCATTTTTCTGTGATCTTTATGATTTTCAAGAGCCGCCTTAGCTGCTGCAATTAAAGTTGACTCTCAAAACCAATTCGAGATATGCAAGATAAGGCGTGCTGAAATATTTTAGGAACAGACGGAACTCACTTATTATGGACAAGGCACCTGCTGTGCTTAAGTTTGACGGCAGGCTCGGCTCATGACACATTCCGCAATAAGTTGGTAATATTCCTTGCCGCGATTTGGGGGACTTGACATTTTGTTCGGTATTGCATGTTCAGAACAGCCGAACTAAAGAAGCCGAGCTAGAAGTTGATCAGACAGCCAGACTCGTTGATGAGTTCGCGAGCGAAGGACACACGTGCATGCTCAGTACAAACATCGACTCGAGGACAGCAGCCCCTGATGCTGATTAACAACCAAGAGTCAGCACTTTGTCCCCCCAATCAAAAGCGAGAAGGAGCTTTTGATTGGGGGGGGGGGGGGGGCATCTGGGGGGGACGGAGCATCTCGAGTCTTTCAGCAACCAAATCAATTTCCTAAAGTACAGAGTACAGACATACGGCGATTTCAATCTTCCGGGAGTAGATCGGGGGGGGGGGGGGGGGGGGAGGGGGGGGGGGGCAGGAGGACACTTGAGCATTTTATTAGCAGCATCATAACGAAAAATAAGGCTTCATTTTTGTTGACCTTTATGAACTTCTATGGTTTAGTTAAACTTTACAAAATCGAGAATTGCACTGGGAATGTCATTGACCTTGTTCGAACATGTGTGTTGATTCTGTGACTCCTTGTTTAACACCCCTTAGTGCAGATGAATGTGTTTCAACCTCCGTTCACAGTTGAGTTCTGTCTTCAACGCAAGAAGCCATCATCCTACCCCTACTCTACGTAATGTTAGTATATAGGTAATTATTTGATTATGTATAAACGCTTCAAAAACTGTGACTGGTGCGGTCTGCTCGCTGTTTCTGATATTGAACTTGTAACTGTGATATTTTCTTATATTGTTAAAGACGAAATTGATATACTTGCACCGCTGCACATTTCAAAAGCTTCAATGTATCCTGAGTGGTTTCATGATGAGTTGACAACTTACACGCACAAGGAAGACCACTTTCATAGACTTCCAACGAACTGGTTCTTCTTTATATTATATTAGGTTCGGTGTATACAGGGATTTAGTTAAAAAGTTGTACTTGAGAGACAAACGCCTACATCTCGATCAGGTACTTGGTCATAAAATTTCAGGTGTGGTCTTCGATAATACTGAAGAGGGCTGCATTGTTTTCTCTAAATACAAAAATTAAGCGGAGTAGCCCTTTAAATACGCTTCCGTCCACCAGCGCGGGCACCTGAAAAGGGTTCTACATGCCGCTTCTTTTAAATCCGACCGCAGCCAAGGTTATGATCATATGAAGCCAATCAGGCAGTACTAAAAGTGTATAGTCATGGCGCCCGTCACCTTTGTGCGTTTGTTATGAGCGGCTACCCAAATCACGAAGAGAAAAAAAGCTTAGGATCGCGGGGCATTCACTGTGCGGGATCGGTTTATTCGGTGATAACGAACGAACGTTACTAAAAAACTCGGTTGGGAATCTCACCCTTGTAAACCTAGACGGCTCGCGTCCACCGACACCGAAGTAGATACGATTACAGCGCCGACCCATTTAGCGGCGGGTCTAAACAACGAAACTTGCTCTATATAGCCACTGCGGCGAGATTTTGTTGCGGGATGGCGCCACCGGCCCTTGCGAGACTCGACTTGACCGCTGTACGTGCACAGCCGTGCAGTTCCCGGAATGGCCGCTGCGGAAGAAATGGCGGCGTTGCGATCGCTTCTAGTTCGGTTCTCGAGTATACGGGCCGGAGCCACCTTTTCGAAGCAGGCTCCCATGGCAGTTTCCCAACTGAGTTGTTCTAGCAACGTTGTAGCAAACGAACAAAGCGAAGAGGAACCGTGACGAGGCACTTTCGTCGCTGATTGATTGACTCCATCGGGTCGTGGCGACGGATGCAGGCGTATTTAAACTGTAACGGACTGTAGGGCTGACGTGTGCGTGGTCAGTTAATTCTTGTTTGTGAACTTTGTACTAGGGCATCGTCGTCGGTTAAAATTTTTAACCCGATTAGTCGCCGCTTTTTAATCGATCAATTATTC